ATATATATATATATATATATATATATATATATATATATATATATATAAAGCTGCGCACCACTCTTTTACGTTTTACAACCACTGCAGTGCTGTTTACATTTATTCAAGACCATTCTTTTTGTCATCCCACCGCGGTGATCAAGCGATTAAGTTCATCAGCTTATCGTCACTGAGGTTTTGTGTTTGAACCCCACCACTGCTTAACTCTTCCCGTTTTGTTTATATCACATGGTAGTCTTTTGTTTCGCTTCTCTTCCTGAAACTTGTTTATACAATCATGTATCGAAGTAGTAACGTAAAGAAGTAAAAAAGGCACTTAAATCATATGAATTCCCAATTTTCAGAGCCAGTCCACTGAAGAATCAATGCTATGATTCGATGTTTTGTAAGTGGGTTTGATGCTACTAACCGCAACAAACGTGACCTGACGGTCTTGGCAGAATATTTGATGATAAGTAGTTTGTGAATGACTAGATAAAATTTCCCTGGAGGCCCACGACCGGCTTCGCAGTCCCTGCCGCTCGTCAGGTATGTGTATCCGGTAATCTTTTGCCAGTTCACTCATATACTTGTACTTGTGTCATTCACATACTACTTGTTATCAAATATTCTGCCAAGATCGTTAGATCACGTTTGCTGCGGTTAGTAGCATCTAACCCACTTACAAAACATCGAATCATAGCATTGGTTCTTCATTGGACTGGTTTTGAAAGAGCTGTCTATCCAATGGTCACCCGGTGTTGAAAACAAGGTTACTGTGACGAAAATACACTTCCTGGGTACAAGTATATGAATGAACTGGCTAAAGATCACCGGATACGCATGCCTGACGAGCGGTAAGAGCCGCGAAACCGATCATGTGCTTCCAGGGAAATTTTGTTCAGTCATTCACATACTACTTATTATCAAATATTTGAGGTATGTATTTTGTCTTACGAAAAACGGAAACTGCACAAGATGGTCATCCTAAAAATAATATTTAGTATTGGTGAGAAAATTTCGCTGTCTTCCGATTCATTATCGCCCCTTTTCTATTGCCAGGCTTGATTGAAAGAAGGCAAAGGATTGTTCTGAGTCACTTGATCAGTGGTTGGAAACATTCAATCAAGTGGCTGCTCTTGAAGAGTTTTCAATAATGGAAAGATGGTTTTAGTACATTTCTCCTGTTTTTGGTTGTTAGTCGACCACACACGTTTTTCTTTTATTATACGATGGTTTGTTTGGTACCCAGTCTGACCTCAGACGTGTGTGAAACAAATATAAATACACGAACACACCACTTAAATGTTAGTGAACCTGTTGCAACATCGATGGTGACCGTAGTGTTAATGTGTCACTGGACTCCGATCTCAAACACATCTCCTGGGGAATTGTAAATCACGTTTTGTTCAATAGTTCTAAAACCTGTCTCCTCTCAATTTCTTTAAAACACCATTCATTCTCCCCTCAGTTATCCTTTGACTTCACCCAACTGCGTTCCACAGACTGTTTCCCTTCCTAGATTGCCTTTAACTTCTTCATTATGCTGGTTCCCTTTTATAGCCTAGCTTGCTTCTAGTGTTGCGCGTAAGGTTGGATTTCTATTCCGTGCCAGACGTTTTTTCACCCCAGCTCATCTTCTATTGCACAAAGCTCAAATCCGCCCTGTTCTTGAATACTGTAGTCACATGTAAGGTGGGGCTTCGTCTTCTTCCCTTTTCCTTCTTGATCGTGTTCAACGAAAGGCCATCCGGCTAATCGATGATCATTCCCCAACATCCAGTCTACAGTCGCTAGCCCATCGTCGGACAGTTACTTCATTGTCCCTTTTCTACCATTACTACTTTGGTTTTTGTTCTTCAGAACTAGCCTCGGCTGTTCCTCTTCCGACAACTTTTATCCGCCATCCCGTACACAGGCATCTAGTCATCCTTATCAGGTTTCTGTCCCCGGATGTCGTACCTCTACTCCAATCTTCATTTGTCCCTCGAAATACCAAACTGTGGAACACCCTATCCCTTGTTCTTTTCCCCCAACTTACAATCTTACACTTTTTAGACGCAGAATCAATAAACTGGATCTTACGTGAATGTTCTCCTACTGTCCCCTTTACAGTATGCTATTTGTCCATGGGGATTTCCCCGTTGACTGTAATTCACATTATGTAATAAAAAACCCGTATAACACGATTAAATGCGTTACTAAGAATTTATAGCTACTACCGAATGGTTTAAAATTATAGTTATTCCAAAGTGAGGTCCGTTGAAAGGAACTTAATTGATCGCTGCCAAGCTCGCAATGTACACAAAGATATTGAAGATGTGTAAGGTGGACAGAAATTGGGCCCGTTTTGAGATAGGAGCTTGAAGAATGCGCATTGATACTATAGAATATTTTTGTGACCAGTTTTCCGCTCCAATGAATTTTACTGTACTCGCCATACTTGGTATTACTTGCTGGTTTCTGATCATATTTTCCAGTTGTGAATACAAAAGGGTTATATGTATATATCACAAAGTTAATTTGGTATGTATACTGAGCAGAAAGGCTTGTGCCACTTGCATGTTGACTCTGCTTAGATCTCAAAAAAATTAGTGTAAATTTAACCTAGTAGTCTTTCAAACATTTTTGTCACTACCTGAAATATTCACCAACGCGATTCTAGAAGTAATAAGTTTTTATCATTCTGTTTGCAACAGACCCTACAAGATGCCGGTCCGGCCCTGAATACCCAACGTTCTGGTCTTATGAAATCTATGTTGAGTCTCCTCAAGCGGTTATGTCTAGACGCGGAATGGAGCGACGTTATGCAAGCTGCTATGGATGGAGAGTTTCCGAATATCCTGCGTCGTATTTTTCTGAATGGTCCGACACACTTCACACCGCATCTGGCATTGTTTGCAATGGAAGCCATAACAAACTACCTTTATACATATCCCTCGCGTATTTCTGCAATGCAGGTATATATACTTTCTCTCAATGCAGTATGGTCTCGGTCGCATTATTAGGTTTCATCGAAAAGCCCTAGTCATTCACGCTGTCTGTTAGTTCAATCTTTACTTGTCATACATTATATAAGAATTTCACAATGAGTAGCACATGAATGGCTGAGTATACACTAACCATGATGAAATATTTTATAAAGACATAGGTCTCTTTCGTCGCGAATAGTATCATCTAACCCATTTACAAAAATCAATGAAGAAAGATTGGTAAGTTGAAAATACAGTCGAAAAGGAAATGAAAAATTTCAGTATACCAAGGTGGGGAAAAAATTGAGACGATGCACAAGGGTCACTGTTTAAGACGCAATCATAACACTCAATGTCTCTAACCATAGCTTACAATGATCCCGAGGTCCTCGGTTTCCATCACCGTACAGCAGGTTTTCGTGACTGTGGGCTCCGCCCCGTCTGCTGTTCGACACACAAAAATATTGTGTAATAAAGAAAAAAAGTACGATAGTCATAACCTCATCCAGTGGCGGATTAACTTCACTGAAGCCTTGACACGTTTTTTCAAAATCGGTTATTCAATCTTTGGTTTTGATTTGAAGTAAAAAAGGTAGAACCATGTTCAGTTTTGCTTTAGTGGTTCCAGTATTCATTCACCACTCGCTGTTAGAGTTTTTACCTCACGTCTGTAAAACTACTACGATGCTATCTCGGGGTGCAATTTAGCACCCCGTAATGATATGCCAGTAGTTCATACTCAATGTGACTTCCGTTTGGTTATTTTAAAGGATAAACAAATCACAACAGACATACTCAAGGCAATGACTGATCAACCGCTACCTCAAAACCGTGATTTTCTGGTCCAATTACCCGGTTTGTTCAATACGTTGGCCCTCAACTCACGTGGTATCGAAGCGATTCAGTCTAGCGGGGTGTTGTCACAATACCTTGATACACTTGTTTCACCGGAATATCTTCCTACAATGAAGACCAAACGCGTACGAGATTTTCTGTCCCAGATTTCTTACAACCCGACATCGGGCTCAGGTCAAAGTCTGTCCAACAGTCTCACTGCCAGTCAAATGAGCAATGCGATTCAGGAACTGTTGCGTTCACACAATGAATTGAAGCCGACTGTATTTCAGAGCTTGGTTGCGGTACGTTCACTTTTTTTATGCGTCGATAACATTGAACCAAACGTCGTTAAGTAGCTGCCAAAGTTTGCTGCACATTCGGTGAAGAGGGATGCTTTACAGTGTTATGTTATTTTGATATGTTACACTATGGTGTGTTCATTGCTAGAAAAGATGTGTGCATACTTTCCTTCACCACAGGAGTTATTTTCACACACTTCGCTGCGTTTGCTTGTATGTGTGTATATATATCTATATATGTGTGTGTATTTATGATTGCCGAGAACATTCTTTTTGATGCTTGCAAACAACAACAGTCCCAGGTTGAAAAGTGACAACTTCATTTTCCCATTTCAGTGCATCAAACGTGTTGTCGAGTTAGGCAACATGCAGCCTGCTACCCTGCTTCCAGAACCTGTATCCTCATCTGATGTTCCGGATTTTTCCACACAAGGTGACCAAAAGTCATCCACTCACTTACTTCGTCCCCTTGAGACACATAATCAACCTTCTGGTTCAGGCGGTTCCTCGCATACAGTGGCTGCCGGTTGTGCAGCACGGACAACTACCCACATCGGTGAAGTGCCTAATTCAACCCAAGATCGTGGTGGGGTGATGCTCGATGATGATGTCGTTATGCTTTCTGGCGGCGAAGATGAAGATGAGGACGATGAGAACGACATTGATGACGTGACCCGCGCTACACAGACGGCGTCTACTGCTGCAACCCGTCAGTCGGGTCAAAACACGGGATCCAGACTGCTAGATTCACGTTCTGTCTCCCCGACCACTTCACTAAATCTTAAAGAGGGCGCTACACCAACGGGAAACAAAATTCAAACGATTTTACCCGACGGCACGCCGATCCCACCACAGATGTTTCTCTCCGATTTTATGCTTAATACGGTAATTAGAGATAATATTTTTGTTCACTGTTAATAATTGACGAGTGGGAAACATCGATTCACGTGGTGGTACTAAGATAGTTTTGGTGTATACTTACATATGTTCACTGGCTGAGACGCACGGTACAACGATCCGTAATACATTATCCAAATCGATGCACTTATCTCCATTAAAATATGACAGTGGGGCCAGCCGCGTTTCATTTTGTCCTGCAGTTCGCTGGAATAGGTTAGCTGGGTAAAACCGCATCCACTGTTCGTGCCTCTATAAGGACACTAGACATAGGGTTTTCAGGCCTGCAAACGATAATCTGTGCGCGGCCGAACGTACGCTTGACGAGAGTTTCCATCACTTGGAAGACAAAGTCGGGAAAAGTACAGCTTCCGCCACCTGCGGTGCTTTCTTAAGAAGAGATTTTATTAAGACGATTCAAGAACAGAATAATCACTGAAGATCGCATAATTAGGCGTCAATCAGAGGATCGATAGAACAACTTACGGAGTGTCTGTATAAGCGCTGTAATTCGATGTATTCTTGCTTTGTCCACGACGTTTCTTCATTTCTTGGTACACCTTATATTATGGTTTTGAATACCGAAGTGTTCGAATGTATCCCATTCCTTAGGAGCGCAAAGATTTGATGTCGGTTCCGTAAATAAGAACGAGGTTCCCAGTAGGAAATATCGTTGTGTTAATTTTGTTTTTCGATGCAGTGAGTTGTTGAAATGAGAACGACTAGAAAAATGCTGAAAGTGTACTTGTGATGGGTTTCTTCTAATTGTTTGAACCGATTTGACGTTTTTTCAATGGTACCCACGTTTTTTTTACTTTCCAGTGCAAATTCTTGGAGAAACTACTTCCGTCGGCGTTACATGTAACGGAAGCAATGTGTCGCCATTTCGTTAGCCACGGTGGTCTACAGGTTCTGTGTGATTTGCTTCAGATGCCCGGATTGCCATATGATTTCCCCGTCTCGGCCGCTTGTGCCTCACTGTGCAAAATTTTTGAGGATTTAGCAAATTCTATCAATCTGAATGATGTTATCGAACCTCTGTTTCAAGTAAGTCGTGTCTGCGGCAAATGAGTTACTTTCCTATTTTGCGGCACTAAATTCGCGCCGTGTCGTGATGATTCACAGAAAATCTCGGCCTATGCATTGGGACTCCGCTTTCGGAATAGATGTAACCATTTTTTGCGTTGTTGAGTTTTGTGCAGAATACATTTGTTCACGGTTCCTGCAGCTTTAGGTCTGAACAGCCTCTAAGCATGGACACTCCGTTTTATGGATTGTTTGTTCAACAACTGAATTAGTTAAGATTTGTCATTACATCATCTGCTAGTTTTGTGACCCATGAAACCATTCCCACGATCCACGCGATTGAGCGTTCGACCAAGAAACTCACGAAATACGAACGAGGACCCCCTCGAAGTGCAATTTCCGATCCTCGACTGCCTCAGAAAACAGAGCAAAGACAGGCCTCCAGGCAAGGTTTTACACTTGGCTTGACCTGAAGTTGAATCGTACAACGGATTCTTCTGCCTATGTAAATTTTTTACTACACACATTTCGTGTGATGGACTGCAGCTGGTGTGAACCCAATGGTCGCATAGGCGTGCTATTCAGTAATGGAAATAATCAACCTAATCCCTGGGACTTGGAGTGGCGAACCACATAAGACCCCAATAAGTTGGACGTGGTACATCTGTATCAATAAAAAGGTGCAGCATTCTTTAAAGCGAAGAAATCTTTGATTTGTTCGTGAGTGGTATGCTACCAGGTTGCCCAGGTCAAAGGTGAATTTTCTTGGGGATTCACAACCGAAACCTTGGGTTAGTAAAAGCCTGATCCGCAATGCAGTGAGGCGGTTTATGTAAACCTGAATCCATTGAGAGTTTGGTGTCCAGTTCGGAGCATGAACCCAGGTACCTAATGCACCTCGATGCCCTATCTGGCCACTAATCACTTCCAGAACCAAAAAAGTGTCTGTGGTTCGTACAACTCATATTAGTTGCTTTTTAATCAGGGTTTTAGCGAACTCCCCTAGACGAATTGCCATTGGTTATAACCGCTTATATGAGCTTCTGATCCCCTCATTGAGTAGGGCATTTTCAGCATGGGCCATTCTAGACGTTTGTTGGTATCGGAGTGTTTGCGGAGATGCAAGGGAAGGGTGACCAGTCACAATTCACGACACCAATACTAAATTACACAAACAAATTTATGCACCACAATAAATGCATCTGCCTATGGCGACTTTTTCTGCGAACTACCAATTTTTGCACAGACAAAGCAAAAGATTGATTAGGTATCTAGGCGTGATTTCGTGGTTCACGTGATCAATTTAGTTGCATTTTGGTGATAGGCTGCTATCTGTCCTGCGGTTCAATACCGCGTCTAACCTACCGAGACCTTACGTGGTTCTCCACTCCAAGTCCCGGGGCTTAGGTTACCGGTTTCCATCACTGAACAGCAGATCTTTGCGATTACAGGATCCATCCCGTCTGTTGTTCATCACAAATGTGTATAATAAAGTCTGCATGTCGAACCAAAGCCCAACTCTTTTGTGATTCCAGTGGGGTTTCTACCACAGTCTCTCCGTTATGGTCTATTAGACAGTATCAACGGACCTTAAGATCATGAACGGTAATTGAATTAGTTACAATGGAATGCGTCTTAACCTTCTCGTTTGTCGCGGTGTACTTTGCTATGGTCCACCGCAATTTTCAATAAGAAGATAATGAGCAAAGATATCTTTCTGAAGCATTATTGTTCACGAATAGGCGTTGTGTAGTTCGCCACTCCAAGTCCTGGGGCTTAAGTTGCTGGTGTCCATGAATGATCAGTAGGTCGTCGTGACTAGAGTTTACTGTCTTATGTTCATGATACATGAATATGTAATAAAAAACAATATGTTCAAGTTATTGGTCCTTAACATACGAATACGTACGTGAATGCCACCTGCTTAAACACTAGTTATAAATACACTATATGCACATTTAATGTTGGGTTTATCCTCCCACTAAGGAACACAGTTTGCTATTATTGCGGGGCCTCTTGAACTACTCCTTATCATCTCCCTTTAACACTATTGATCTCGTGTATATCAGCCGTGATTTTGTCCACACCGTCACCTTTTTTTGCTTTGAACAGCGATATCCAGGCTACGGCATTCTATTAATTGATATTTGTTCGACCCATTGTTAGCTTATGCATATATTAATAGTTACCATAAAATGAGAGGTACTAATTAGAACTGTTCGCGTCATTATGCTGTGCTGTATGGGTTGATCATACCGGAGAACCGAAGTCGTGTCGCTAACTCTAATAGTACCAAACATGCCGCACGTGGCAACAGCCTGTTGTATTGAATTCAGTTGTCTACCCAGGTTTAAAAGCAGACGGGACGACCTGTCTGTTTTGAGCAGGCGATTTACCTTCGCGCAAATAAGAGATATGTACTCTATTTTTTGCGACGGTCGATAGTGCTTTATGTATGCTGCCAAAAATCATCGAAGTGATGCTCGTTGACTATGCTTGTGCTCTCTTTAGCTTTTGGGAGAGGTTTTTATCTTTTGCCCTCATGTTTGCTCTCTTCGTTCTTTTTGTTCGTAGTGCTTGGAATCTTCACTGACAAAGTTATCCGATTTGTACAACTCTCATTTTCGAGTGAAATCAATTTTGTTGATCGAGTACATGGCACAGGAACACACGCATCTTCATGAACTCGTGGTCACTGCTTCGATTATCTGTATCATGGTGCAAATAATCGACCATCTTAAACCGGAGCTCCGACCGACTTTGGCTAACAAATGGATCAGCCGCAGTCTCCTAACCACTTTGGGGTAAATACTGTTTACCATGTTCTTCGTCCATGTTCGATGTATCAAATCACTGTCAACTTGCCTAGTTTAGATGCTGTGGAATATTACACAAGTGTTTGTACACCTGCCCAACTAAACAAACGTAAATCAAATTTTTGACCATTAAGGCATAGAGTGAAACGATGAAACCCTAGTCGTCGCCTAGCTCGTGTTGATTCCATGCGTCCACAGGTGATCAATTCCCATATGATTATGTTTTGTAATCAGTGATTTTGATATAGTTACCCACTCACCTGTTCCAGTCGTCTGTATCTCGGTGTGTCATGGGAAGCTGGCATCCTTCTCACTGTGCTCGCTGGTGACAAAGAAATCACGGAGGAGGATTTATGCCCATCAAAGAAGTCAGCTATGCATTCTACTTGTTCACGTCCTGGCAGCAGCAAACCAACCGACGGTGACGTGAAAACAGCGTTAAATGCAGAGCCAATCCCACAATTTGTCGAGGCTTTACATATATACGCGCTTCTGAAACCGAAAAAGACGCACGTAATGTCAGAGCATGCCTTTCTCCGTCAACATCCTGGTAAGTAAACCGTTCAGTTTGGTCCCAAACGGGACGAAACAGCTGTCCAGTGCTCTTTATCGATCACAAATATTTCCAGAGTTCAATCATTTTGATAATATTTATTCATTTAAAATGTCTTCAGTTCTCGGTGATGTTTCAATCTTCGGCTTCCTGGCGTTTAAAACAAAATCGCTGTTCATTGACTGCCCTCACCCTGGGCATGAGCTCTTGAAATCTACTGATTTTATCCCGATTGTGTTTGTTCATACGGGTTTTCCCCTATTAGGAATCATGTTGCACATACCTCAAAACCGTTTAGTTTACCTTATTATGTTTAAAGTTTCCGGCCCAGGGGACGGGGAGGGCGAAGGAGGAGAGGGGCAGGAGTGCTGATTGGTACCTAACAGGTGATATGAAGCT